TGGAGGAGTGGTGAGTCCCGGGGTTTTTCTTTTCTTTTTATTTCCTTTTTCTTTTAAAGGGCTGGAGCTCAGGTGGGAGGGCAGCCATGGGGGTGCTGGATGAGCAAAGGGGGGTCAGGGGGCTTGTAGCAGAGCCCCCATGCAGTATGGGGCAGTGGGGGGCAGTAGGGATTGCCTTCCTGCCTGGCAGCACCCAGTGAGTGGGGCTTTTTTTTAAAGCACCAGGAGGTGTGGTGGCCAGGGCAGCCTTGGAGGGGCTGGGGGAGCAGGCGGGGGTTGAGGGGGCCTTGGAGAGCAGGCAGGGGATGGGACCTGGCACTGGTCCCCCATGGTCCCCTCCCTTCCCTGCCCCTACTTACCAGGTCCGAGTCCAGCTGCAGCTGCCTGCTGCAGCCACTGGGGACTGTCTAAATCATCAAAGATTTGGAGAGATTTGAATCAATTCAGACCTTTTAATTGGTCCTGGATTCAATTTGAGTTTGGAGATTCGGCCACCGAATGAGGCCTTATCTCCTCCAAATTGAATCACCACTCAGTGCTTCACACAGCCCTACCGATTATTCCTTATTAGAGCAGTGGAAACAGCTTAAGCAATAGCACTGTTATGGGTTAATGTTACTGGCTGTAGGAGGCTGCTTCAGGATCAGCAGCTCTTTAGGGTTCTTGGCTTGCAGGCAATCCCATTACCCTTGCTGCCCAGTAGTATGGTAATGGGCAAGGGGGCCCAGGACTGCCTGTAAGCCCCCAGTGACAGCATGGGCTGACATGGGGTTTGCACTTCTTGATCAACACCTGCTTCCATTATAGACCATTCTGTTGCCGCCCATCGGCCAGAGGGAAGTGGCTGCCTAGGCCACAGTTCTTGCAGGATTCCCTAATACCTCACCAGCTAGGTAAGTTATCAGAGAGCCAGCTGCTCTCCGTCTCTCCCTCATCTTGGATAGGGAAGAGGTAGAGAAGAGTCCTGTGGGATATTGAGGGATGTTCAGACCTGTATGCATGTTAAATTAATTGCAGACAACCTTCCTACCAGAAAGAAGTTGTTGTTTGAAACAGCAACTTTTTTGTCCTGAATTCAGTATTTTGTGCCTGACCAGCCATTTTTAGGGGGACAGTGAGACAATATGTGGCCATTTACTTTTTGTCCCCCTAAATTCACATGTCACAAGCATGACATGTAACCTCTGTCAGAGCCATAGGTGGATCTAGAATTTTGAAAAGTGTAGGAGCAGTTGGTGTGGTGCATTCTCACAGATGAACCAACACACATTTTTCCCCCAGTTAAAAATAAACTAGAAGCTTTACCAGTAAGCCAGGGGCCTAGGTCTGTATCATTCAGTGTAAGATTGAAGCAAAAACAAATAGAATTTAGTCATAATGAATTAAAAATAATCTGCAGGGCTGTGAAGTAGGAGCTTTATTACCAGGAGCAGCTAACAGACAAGAGAATTGCAGAAACAAAGGATAGCTAGATTGGTGGAATGTCAAGACCACGAAAAAGGAGAGGGTCATTAACACCTGTGGAATGAAGAGTTTAGAAGGCATCAGGTAGATTACAATAAGCCATGAAGTCAATTGACTCCCTCAGAACTGCTTGACTTGAAATGCTGCTGGTTGGCAGTTGTTTTTTTAACTGCCTGGAGCAGAAATCAAAGGGGGGTGGGGGTACAAGTGCACCAGCGCATTCCTCCCCCATCCTCCCTGTGGCCAGAGCCCTAACACAAAATAGAAATAAAAGCAGAAAAGTCAGCTGGTGCCTGAAAGAGTCAAAATAACCAAAGAATGCAATTTGTGACATTTATGTGCTCTCTTCCTCTAAGCTTCCATCCTTTGCTTGCATAATGGAACTGTATGTGATTCAGATGGTATGTGGTACTGACAGCAAAACAGCTTTGGCAAAATTGATGGACATCTTTAGGAGTTTTGAACAGAACTGAGCTTGGAGTTGATGTATTTTTTTCTGAAAAGCTACAGGGAGTTTGTGGGAAATATTTCTGAAAACTTCACTAATAGCAATTTTTTTCACCAAAAAATATATCTTTATAAATTTCTATTTACTACATATCTATATAGGCTTATATGATTTACTTAAAAAGTAAATTACTGTGTCCTATTATAGTAAAAACAGTTGTGTGTTTAATTATTTTTTTCTGCTTTCCTTCAAACTACGGACAACATGTGCCATCACTGATATTGACGATATCCAGATTTGGTGATGTACAAAATTTGCAAGGCATAAAAATATGTTCAGACCACCAACTTAGCATAGGCTTTTGGGAGTTCCAGTAAAACATAATGGCTAGGGACAGAAGTTACACAGAAACCAGTTTAAATGGTCAGAAACTGGTTTAAACCTGTAACAGAACATAAATTAGTAACAGAACATGAACCACCTTCAAAATGGCCAAAACCTACCTTAAGGTGAACCTGGCTGAATGTAGTATCAGACTTAACTGATTTGAGTCAAACCGGTTTAGGGAAATTCTGTCCTAGGCCCCTTCCTGGTTTAAGTTAAATCAGAGTCCCCCAGCATCCCAGCATGCTTTTCAGCCCTGGACTTGACTGGGATGGGCTGAGCCATCTGCTTCAGAGAACAGGGCTGGCTCCACCCTGTCCCTAGCCGGAGCTCTAGTTGGCTGAGAAGTGGATGGGGACTGCAGCCGAGAGACTGCAGCATCTGCCTGGCTTCCCCCTGCCCCACCCTCCCCTTATTCTCTGCTCAAGCAGGGATCCCCCCTCTCCTGCAGCAGGGACCCCAGTGGCACAGACCTCAGCAGGCATCTGGCCATACCACTCCCATGCCAGCTAATGCTGAGAGGTGTCTGTGTGTGTGTCTCCAATTTCACTGGAACAAAGGTAGACAAGACAGTATCTGTTTAGAGCTTTTTAAAACTAATCAGCAGGTCAACTGGTAATGTCCCTCCATTCCTTCCTTGGAAAAAGCTGCTTAAGAAGGTTTTGAACTAATGAGAGCTGCCTGCTGGCTTGCTTGCTTCAAAGGCTGCAATCTGTCAGTGTTCAGGAGGGGACAGAAAAAGATGTGAGAAATTACTTGGTTTGCACTGCATGGGACTGTGAGTACCATCAGTTTGCTGCACAGTATGAAGAAGCAGGGAGAGGGAGATTGAAAAAGTCAGTATCATCAACAGATGCATGCACTCCACACAAGCCGTCCTCCCTGACCTCACCCCACTTTTGCCTCAGTGCTAGCTAGGGGCTGGGGGCTGAGGTCTGGCAACTTGAGCAGTCAGCCGGGAAAAGCCTGGTGAAGGCTGCTTCTCCCTTCCACTCCAGGCACACTGCCCAGCTGGGGGCTGTGAAGGCCAGTGTGGGGGTTTAAACCCTTCCCTAAGCATAGTGTTCTGCAGGGCCTGGCCATGGCTCCCCTCAGCTCTGCACTGTGGCAGGGAAGGGAGGGTTTGCTCTAGCACCCCCCGGCTTCCAGCCTGAGCCACTGCAGACATGTGCTTGCATTTCCTGAATCTAAAGTGAATGTCTGTCCACTTGCAAATCGGTTCAAGCTCTGCAGGTTAGACCTACCCTTCAAAGATTGAATCAATTCAGGCTTGGGCTTTTTGAATGATTGTCCCTAGCCAACATATTTAAATTTCGGTGTTATGCAACCTGTATGTGTACGCAAAATCAGATCTGTAAAAATCAAAATGTTGTTTTATGTTGAGTGTAGACTTTTACATTGCTTGATGTTTAATACATTTTTTCTGTTTTAAGATCTAGCTGCCTCTTCATATAATTAAGTTACAAGTAAAAATAGGAAATAAAATACTGAGCCTATCTCTAAGCAAATATTATAGTTTGTACCAAATTATTTATGTATGCAACAGCCAAGGTTCTTTGGGTGAATCTGATATCTCTTATTAGACCAACTTAAATAGTTGGAACAATTTTTCTTAGCAAGCTTTTGGGTTTAAAAACCCTTCGTCAGGCTGAGGAAACATCTGCAGTTGGTGCGTGCTCTTCCTGGGCTCAGTATTTTATTTCCTATTTTTTCATATTTATTTCCCGGATGCAGGAAGAGCACGCACCAACTGCAGATGCTTTCTCAGCCTGACGAAGAGTTTTTAAACCCAAAAGCTTGCTAAGAAAAATTGTTCCAACTATGTAAGTTGGTCTAATAAGAGATATCAGATTCACCCAAAGAATCTTGTCTGCCTATGTCCTTAGACCAACATGACTACAACCTACATCCCTGTATGAAACAGCTGAATTCTAGTTGCAGTGTACTGGCTTTTTGTATATGAGCAAGTGAATGATCTTGCCATGCAGTGCCTAATTCATAAAAAAGGCTAAGCAATCTATTATGAGGTACTAACAGCTTATTCCATCTTTTACCAATCTTAGCTTTCCATTGATTTTTCATTAAAATATTAAGCTTTAAGTAGCAAAAATTATCAGTGCTACCTAAAATTATTAATTATACTTACTGAATCAAGTCTTTTAAAATTATATAGTTCTTGGTCTTTTTTAGCAATTAATATTTGCAATATATAAGAAACATCTTTGTAAGCATAAATCTTTCAGAATGTATCTTGTAATTTTGGAGAATTGACTAAGAGACTTTCCCTAGGTTTTATGAGTTGCTGGAACTGGAATATGGAACCTCAGCCTGTCCTTCATATGCATATGTACAATTCCCATTATGTTCTCTTCAGTAGAACTGCTCATTATTTATTTAATAGAGTGTCTTAGGATATTAATTAATAAATAGCACAGAAGAAAAATTACTGCAAATAATGTTGCATGTTAGTTTGGCACAAGTTTACTGTGGGGGTGGGGGTTGATCACAGCCTCTCTACTTTGGGGAAATTAATGTAGAGTTTTGCCTGTGGAAATGGTCCAGGATTAACACTGTAAAAGATAATGTTTCACTGTGTTTTTCTGTTTTTGGTTAGCTAACCCAGAACCACCTAAGACAACTTAACAAAATATACAGTAAAAGTTTTGAAGCCTCATAGTAATGCATGTATTGTGTTTGATTTTAGGCAACTTTTTTCTGTGACTGTGAAGATCAATACCTGGGTGCTTTCTGCGAAGAATTTAATGCATGTCAAAGTGGGCCTTGCCAGAACAATGGTACTTGCACTGATATAACACAAAAACATGATGGGAAAAATTTCACCTGCACTTGTCCTACTGGTAAGTTTTACGTTACATTTTGAACGTTGCTTTTTTTGTTGTAACATCCTATGCAAATCTTTTTGCAAAGCAGTGTTTTGTATGTCTTTACATGTATGGAAAGAAAGAGAAAATGTGTATGGGATCACAAGTCCCAGTCTTTCAGAAATCACTAGATGTAGATCTGATAGTTGTTGGGGTATATGAGCATGCAAACAAATTACCAGGAGGCAGAGGATAGCAATTTACACTGCATCAGCTGCTTAGCAGTAACTGAACACATACTTTTACACTTTGTAAATTAAAGCTGGCCCATGACAACCACCTACTTAGCACTGTGCATGGGATAGTATGCATGTGAGAGGTTACTGTGGAATGGTTGAAACATTGTAAATCCCTGCTTTTGTCTGCCTCTTGGTAACATGAACATGTATCCATGCCCAGAATAATCCCAATGAAAGCCTAGATGCCTCTGAGCAAACAGCCCAAAACTTAGCATAGCTCCAATCAGTGGGAACAGTCATCATTGTAAAAATTGTACTCACATCAGGAGTTTACAAAATCAGGAACCATATTTTGCTGCTTGAGGTTTTTTAGATAGAATTGCCATTGTTCACTTTTGGGCATGTCTACATGTTCATTAATGCACAGTGGTTACTGCACATTTAATTTAGTATTTGTATAATTAAATACTAAATAAATGCACAGTAACCGGACTTTGAGCAGTAGCAGCGCCAAATGCCTTTTTAGTGACGTTACTGTGCATTAGCCTATTAGTAGTGTTTGTGCTGTGATGCACTACTGTGCAGTATTATTAGGCGACTGTGCAGTTAACATCTTGTATAGACACACCCTTATGAGTAACAAATGTTTCACTATGGTGCCTTCATTGTAAATTGTAACCCATTTTTCCTTCACATGGGTCAAATAAAAGATGTTTCTTTACAAAGCATGAAGCTGTTGGATTGTTCATAAAATTAATTTTAAAATTAATTTTGAAAAAATTGTATAAATGCAAAAGAATTGAGTGATGTGCTGGTTTAGTTAACGATGAAATGTATGTGTTAAATTCTTTGAAATTGCATTATAAGCATTTGTTTTTAAGATTTGATCAAATTCATATTGGCATCTTAATTAGAATGAAAATTAAACTAAATTCAATGGTCATACTTGAATGCCAGAGGGTAACTTGATATAATTACTGTTATGTGCTGATGGAAAATTCTTCTTACAGAATTGTATGATAGAAATTTAATGCTGTCAGTATCTTGCATTTCAAAGGCTCTGAGTGCACTTAGGTAGACCACTTTAATGTGGAAATCATTGGGTATTGATATATTATTTTTAGAACTGCTAATATTGGCTAGAATGAAAATAGATTCATTCAAATTAGGTTCCCAAAACTATGCATAAAAGGTAAAGATTTGAAGAGCATAGAAACTGTACAAAGAAAATTGAAAAGAATAATAAATAATTCAGTATCTCTCAAAGTAGCCTTAAAGCCAGCCATGTTGACTGTTGAAAGAGTGCCTCAATGTAAAAGATCAGTCAGTGGTATAATAAGGATTGAACAACACCTATTTTACCCTCTGAATTCCAGCCAGAGTAGAGATGACCTGGGTTTCCCTATATTCCATAAGTCTCCAATTCTTATATCCATTCCTTTGGTCTTCTGGTAGCCAGTTCAAGCTTAGAGAAACATTCTAGTAACTCTAACTTGTGGCTGGGTACAAGACCAAAACAGAAGCGACTCAGAACTGAGAGTATGCGGATATATCTTCAGGTTTCTTTCTAGAATTCCTACACCTTCTTCCCTAGGTGCTCTGTGTAGTCTTTAGCCAAAGTAGAGGTTCTGCACCAATCATTTTATAAATCTTCCTATTTATGCTGCTATTCATGCCTCTAGGCTTTCCATCCTTCTCCTTTCACTCACTTTAACTATTTCGTATGTGCAGACAAAACCTGGTTTGTTTTTAGGTTTTTATGTAGAAGACCTGGATTTATATTTTAAGTGCATTAGAAATAAAATATGACTTCACTGTGCACAAACATTCTCATCCATTATATTCCATAAATATGCAAATGGACCCAACTGTTTCTTGAACAAGATATGTAAACATAGTTAAGTAATGATTTCAATTCTGTTAACTGTGAAGTACATTTCAGCAGAAAAAGATTGAACTGAAATGGAACTTGAAACTGAGTGACTTGAACAATCCCTGCTGGTAAGGTCATAGTAGATGTAGCCTTTTAAGAATTAATTTGATAGAAAAAAATTACATTATTGACATAAGATTGTCTCAAACTTGGAGGCAATGCTTTGTATATATTGTGCAGAGAAAATATTTTGAAATTCCTGCGTAGTGAGTAATATAGCTAGATTCAGATTTACCAATTAAGATTACATTTTAGAGGAAATCAGAAGTAATGTTAAACAAAATAAATGTAAGAAAAATAAACAGAACCAAGTTCTGCTCCAGGCTTGTTACTGACATTTCCCATTATCTTAGTGATGTGATAACCTTGAGACCAGTTCTTCTCTGGGAGGTACTCATCTGAATAATGGTTTGTATGATCAACCCTTGGAAATGTTCAGAGCATCTTAAATTTCCCAAAACTTGCCTGAAATTGGGTTTGGATCTGTAGTCCTTAACTAATTGAAATTCCTGTTGAACCGTAAGCCTTTAATCTTAATATAGACCTCCTTAACTGTGGTATTGAAAAGACAACCTTAGAAGAGAGTCTCTGTAAGTGATTTCTGTTGATTCCTGGTTTTAGCTGAGCACTAAATGCTTCAGTAGAATAACATTATTTGTGATATTCCTTATCCCAGCCAAAACTAGGAGTTCTAGAATTTGATTTTTCTATTATGTTAGCTAAATATCACAGACTTTTTCTCCCTTCCCCCTTGCCCCCCCCCAACCC